GGACGTGCCGGCAAAGGTGAGTGACTTTACCAAAATTTGGGCCAAACAGAAAATTCGCGCTGTTTTCAGTATTGACCTATCCATACATCTCACAAGAAGAAGAGCAGCAAATTTTGTTGTCGTCGAACGAATCCGCATCGGCTTATGCACAAAATCTCGCTAAGGTCTTNATGACTTCGCAGTAAAAGCGTGTGGTACATGGATAGACCAAATGTCATCGTGAAGCAGCATAGCTTTTGCCGTATCGTCATGAGGCTAAATTGATTCGAGTTCATCCAGGCGTGCATCGAAACGTGGTCGCTACGAGGACGATGAGGACTGGGCCGAGGACGACAGAGCCTGTGGCTCTTCAGGAACTATCGGACGTGCCGGCAAAGGTGAGTGACTAGGCCAGTACTTGGGCAGACAGAAAATCCGCGCCGTTTTTAGTATTGACCTATCCGTACATCTCACAAGAAGAAGAGCAGCAGATATTGTTGTCGTCGAACGATTCCGCATCGGCTTATGCACAAAATCTCGCTAAGGTCTTGTTCGCTGATTCATTGGACCTCTATTTCAAGGTATGTCTCATTTTACTGCTATTTGGAAGGAGTTTCAACAGGGGTAGCCGCGTGCGGCTGCGTCACGCTAGGTCATTCACGAATGCGGGGCTGTTTCGGTAATTCTCGAGGACCCACTCTTCATAGCACCGCGACGCGACGGCGCTCCCCTGCGCTAGCCTCGCGTTCGACACCATGCGGGGCTCTCAAACAGTAGAAAGGTAGCTCATCAGTTGATTGGATTGAAATAAATAAGTCGATTTAAAAATAGAATCCCTCATGGAAAAGTGACGGTTGCCTAAGCCGTGATTCTTGCATTGACCTACAGGATCCATCTTGTGCTGGCGAAAAAATGTTCTAGTCCCATTTGAGTGCAATCGTTCCAAGAGAACTGTATCTAGTAGTCGCATGCGAACTGGAGGGATATTACCCAAGTGGATTGGTGGAGCAGTGGGTGTCTCGGAGTAGCTGATTTTGGTTGTCCCGCTTGGGCACTCACCACTGCACATCTACCCTTCAGCTGACACTTTGCTGAGAGTCCCAGTTGGAGTCTATTGGGATGGACTAGATTATTGAGCTCCTATTATTTGGTAGGATGCTGCAATCCATTGTGGAAATGTTAAGGATCAAGATCCATCTAAGCGACAGTGGATCCACGAAGCCGTCGATTATCGTTTTCCTTCTGGCGATCGTAATGCACACCATCTGAAATGGAAGAACTGTTCTTCAGCAATCAACAAGAATATGCGAATCTCTGAACGTGGACCAGCGGATAAGCCGAAGCTGAAAGAAGGTAATCTTTCTGTTGTTCAAATTGCCGAAACATCTCTTGTTGCCCTTCGTCCTATTGATTGGTGATGAGAGTCCGCCGTACTGTACCCATGATTGCGTCATTGTTTCATGATTTATTGCTGTATTGCCTTTACCAATACCGATCCCGAACGGAAGGTTACAAGAACGAATAAATGCAGAACGAAGCGTATTCTCAAAATTATTGGCCCATCTCTTTTGTCCGGATTGGCAACCGGCCTTTGTCATTATACCAGCGATCTGATTTCTGTTAAGGGTAATGAATCGGAAACGATCGCAGGTTGTGTATTGAAGACAATGATGTAAAGGTCGTGTAGATCTGTAGAGGTTGCGTCTCTGTTTTATAGACCGTTCAACCTTCGAATATTTTTTGCTAGATTTGTGTGGTCCCATACCACACAGAATCTCAGCATGTTACAGTTTAACCCAAGCAACCCTTAAACCATTCACCAGCAGTGTGGGAGAAACAGCACTCGTCAGGGAGGATGGAAGTATCGACGGGTCAACCCCAGCCGGTCACTTCCAAGGTCCCAAGGATAGACTGTAACAACCCTGAGGGTTTTAAGCTATTCACACCGCTAATCGTCACTTTGGACTGGTGGTAATTACCGGACAGCAAGATGGGGAAGGGAACAGCTTAATAATTGAGTGGAGGTGGCGCTCACTCAGCTATCGAGCAGTTCTGTAAGCACATACTGATTTGAGGGTCCCCATGATACTATGTCAGCCTAGATTGATGAAAGCCGTCTGAACGTTGACTTCGACTTTTTCCCTTATTGCTGATTGTCCTTTACTTTAGAACGCTACCTTTCATATCGTTATGTCTCAATGTGTAAATAAGACTTATGGTAAACAATTTACTGTTTAGTCGAGTGCACCTATTTAACACGAGAGTACGAAGAGGAGTGCTACCGGAAGGCAAACAAGGATCCAGTGAAATATGCAGAGTTCATGTCACTGAAGCTATTCGAAGGTTCTTGGGACAAATTCTTCAAAGAACAGGTAGTCCTTAGTTGTTTTTCTTAATGTCTCTATCCTTACATATTCATTTTCTGTCTAAGGCAAGGGATCCATGGGGTTTAGGTAGTGTAATTTAAAAAAAAAGAAAAAAGTTTAAAAAAAACGGTGAATTTCGGAGTGCTGAGAGCGGGTTCAAGTCCCGTCGAAGGCCTGACGATTGAGTAAAGGAGCGGTCCTTAGGTCCAGCAGTCCTATGACTGTGAGTGATGACTGACTATGACTAGATTGACTGTTGATTGGTCTGTGTAGAATCGATGGTTAACATTTTAGGATGCAAAAATGAAGGATTGGTTACGGGAATGTGTTGATCGAAGGTTCTACATTGCCGATAAAAACAAGCGTGATCAGCGATGGAAAGTTTGTGCAGCTGCATGTAATCGAAATCGCACAAAAATCATCGGAGAAGACGGAAAGGGTGAGTTACCGGAGTCATTCCTTTTTATTTTTTCCCTAGTACTGGTTTTTTTAAACAATTACTTTCAGTCAATGAATTTCCGTACTTTCCGAAAGAACTCGAAGAAACGGCATTCCGTGAATCCAATGGTCTACCGTATGTATACGCAGAGGCCATGGCGAAACTACTTTTTCCTGATACTCCGCATCTGTTTTTCAAAGTAGGTTTTTTTCATCTCTATTCGGCACCTTCATTGTGAGGGATTGAACGGCGGAGGGTTGCGAACCTTTTGGAGAATCCCATGCATCTAAGTTCCACTAGGGATCGTAGAGTTTGACAAATTTATTTTTGACTATAATTCGGCTAACGGTGCTCTATGAAATGGCACAGAACCTGAATTTACCCAGTGAATGTTTGAGGTTTCTAAGTTTCTTCCCAAACTTGCTAACTATGCCCTACTGGATTTTCTACGACCCATTCCGTGTGTATGATTTCATTTCGTATTAGGCTTTTCTATGCTATTGAATGAAGCATCAAATTGGAAAGAATAAAGTCTTCGGGCGTTAATCAATCCCGTCAGAGAGATGCGTCCCGCATTCGACTTCCATTGAGGATCGTAGTGGCGTAATGAATGCGTACGTGGCCCATACATTGGCTTACGGTGCCTAGCGGACGTACAAGTCACTGTTTTTATCCTCCCAGACGCGTCTGGTACCAATTAGTCGACCCTGGAGGAGCGGAAGGCTTCGTTGGCCTACCAAACTAGGATTCGAACCCGCGATCATGCATGTGAGTAGTGCCCACTTGTCATTGCACCACCTCCGCGAAAAATTATAAATGTCCGATATAGTCATCTAATCTCGTAGAAGTATATTGATTAAATTTTCTATTCCAAATGTGTTCTTTGTAGGACCAGGACCATGGCAAGCGTGTCTGGCTACACGAAGTACTTGACCGTCGTTTTCCGTCGCGTGACAAATTGCAGCATGTTGCTAAGTGGAAGTCTTGCACTACGGCGATCAATAGAAATAAACCAGGCAGTGAGTTGATTCGCAGATGTTCATGTCAGGAAAGGTAGTCGAGCTGTAAAAAGTTTCATAAGAAGACAAAAGAACATACATAAACTCGGGCTCCATAAAGTTCAGCATGATTCTAACTCGATGAAGGTTACGCGCATGTCCTGTGAGAACTCGAACTTCAGGGGTCGTGGAAACGTTTGAGCAGAAGTCCATAAATTGTTTTTGATCCATTCCAGACTGAAGAAGGCGATACCGCCGGAACATTAGTCAATAAGGTTTTAACGAAGGCCTTGTGATGTTCAGGACATAAACTATCAGAGGCTACAATGGAATTCAACAATTACCCATGGGTAAAGACGGTTGCGCGTCAGAAGGTTAGGATACGACTTCGCACATCCTTGAACACTGTTGAGCGGGGTGCATTTGAGCGGGGTTTACTACTAGTGGTATTAGTCGCAGATTTAATCGTGGTGACAATCGACAAAGTGAAACTTCGACGCGTCCTGACTTTGCAGTCCATATCTTGCAAAATCGATATCCATTCTGGAGTGTAGAGAATGGTCCGATGGTTGATGACAGCTCAGAAGTTTTTTTTTTGCGTTCTTTTTTTCTCGAATTCGTTTCTTAGGTTTTGCAGGGCCACCGACGTTCACTGAAATGAAGCCGCTAGCAATTGTATCCAGTGCAAAGAGCTCAGCGGATAAAAAAGACTCGATCAAGGACAAAGAGAATAAGAAAAAAGACGAAGATACGCCTGTTAGCACCAAACGTTCTCAATCTGCAAATCGCCGGAATGAGAAAGAGGCGTTGGCAGATCAAAAAGATATACTGAAAGAAGATGCAGCGAGGAAGGAGCGAGAAAGCAGCAGGATCAGCGCCCGAGCCAAAGGGCACAGACGTGAGTTCGCTCCATCGTTTTATTTAAACTTTTGTAGCATTTTATTTGTTTTTTGCGTTAAAAAAACCCTGAAAATTGATTTTCATTTTCTGAAAATATATAATTTTATTCAGCGAAGTGACTTGTCAAGTTTCTGCACGCACTCAAGCGACCCGAACAGCATGTTCTCTTGGTGCATCACCGGCTCTTTGCGTATCTACGTGGTATCGAATTCGTTATGAATGAGCACGATTTTCGCGTAACTGAAGTTGGCTCGACAGCCAAGTTACTTGTTTTGGGAAAGAATGAGCTCTAAAAAAATCTGCAGTGGTTTTGAAGGATTGCTCCCGGAGATCGCAGTGTCAAGTCGTCGCTGGATAACGGACATTTGAAGGCATCCATGAAAGCGTATCCAGAAAGCAGCGATGGGAGAAGAACTAGGAGTCAATCATAGTGGAGAAGGCATTCTAATAAATTGTGAAGTTCATGAAAATGTAGGATTGGGTGCCGCATGAAGTGGAAGAGGAGCGCATATTCACGGTCGTATTCATGAAAAATGGTTGCTGTACGGTAATAGGGAAGTTTGATTTGCTTGGTATAGCGGTTTACCTTTACCAAATTAAGCAGAATATCGAAAAAGTCTCTCCACTCTTCGAATTTTCCTGTGCTTCCTGCTCCCACTACGACGGCGAGTCTTTTTACTAGGCAAAGTTAGCAGTCGGTATCACCCTCAACAGTCANCCTTTACCTTTTCGTTTCCGGGTTTCTGTAGAAAGGTGTTCTTTATGGAGATATGGTGCAAATTCGAGTTCACCTCTTTCGTTCTTTACTCTTGCACCGTTCCTGCCTAAAAGATATTTCGTACCGTTCAACTGGGATCCGATAGCTGCGTTGAAATCGCCCTGTACAATAGTATAAGTTGATTTGAGCCCTCTTTGTTTCCTCGTAAAATCGCTCAATTTCGTTGTCGTCTGCTGAAGCAGTGGGCGCATGCACTTTCACAATTTTGAGCGTTCGATTCCCCAGCTCTTACATCTTGACCTTCAGAAAGGAACACGGTGGGACTGGATACCGCAAGGAATAACGCCAGGGACCGTCTTTGTTTTTACGTGAAACCGACTCCATTTGTTCTGGACACATCATCAACTCCTTCTCCCAGCAGAATCATCGCTTCACCACTTTGTTGGGACTGTGCTCTCCTGGTTTCATAGACACCGACAATGTTGGCTTTGACATTTTCCAACTGTTGCAGGTAGACGTCTAGGATAGAGTCCATCGTTAATGTCCTGACGCTATAGGAAACGATGTATACTCTGAGGCGTAGATAGTCCTTTTTCAACTTTGCCTTACACCGAAGTGTGGGCTCGTTGGGCAAACTCGGGGCATTCTCGGAACAATCCCGGATCGGAACCACTACATTTTTAAAGTTTCTGCCGGTTTTCTCTTGCAGCTGTCCATTCATGTTGGCAACCCTCTTTCCTGTAGCTGCTTGGTTCGCTCGAGTTCACGGTTGCTTACTAGATATATTGGCAGCTACCGAAGGATGCCCACGACGTGAAGACGTGGCAGATGGCTCCGAGCATAAGCACACTGGCAATTACGCGCGGATTTCGATGGCCCTCAATTTGGTTAATGAAGTTCTGTTAGAATCACGTTTTATGATTTTTGCGAGTATTGCCCGAAAACTGTAATATACACCTCAGCGAGTTGCGCCTGTCTGTCTCGTCCAATCAGTAAGGTTGTTGGCTTGGGAACNAACTAAAATATTTTCTTCCGGTTGATTTACAACGCAGAGCATGTTAATTTATTGCCTTCTTCAGCTGAACCCTACACGTCATATCCTTTCATGACCGAGGACGAAGAAATTGAATGTTATGAGGCAGCGAAGAGGAAGGACGTCGAGGTATATGCACGAGCAATGGGGCGCGTATTGTTCAAAGACAACATTAAGGCATTGTATAAGGTAATTGTCTTTTTATACGATCTTCTTAACCCTTTGACGACAATGCGGATTTCGACGTGACGCGCTCATTGAACTACGCCCCTTCCTTTCGCGAACGACTGGCACCCACCGCTGGGTGCCACTATCCCAGGAGTGGATTCTTTCAGTGGCTCACTGAAGTTAGCAGTATTTCCCTATAATAGAGTACCAAGATGTTATTTTATCCATTATATAAGACTGGGGGTTATAAATTTAGCTCAGATCTGAAGCAATGTAGGATAGAAATTCTAGAAATAAGGTACGCAGTGGGAATTCATACATCATTCAAACCATGGAGGATCAATTCATGCTTCACGGATGCCATGAAAACTCCACTGCTTCTGAGATGTGCACAAATCTTGCAAAAATGCCTAGCTCTTTTTCTTAGTACCACATGTTTGTGAAAAATAAGCTTCTATGAAACATTCATGTGGATAAGTTGGATGTGAATACTATGAAGTTTCACATGGATGGCGATTTGTGAGCGAAACTTCGACCTCGGACGGGACTCGAACCCATACTTGTGCTTCCCGGGGATTATGAAGTTTGTTGATGATTATGTAAATATTGAATGACTTTTAAACGTGGTAAGAAAAAAAATTATAGTGATGCCCAAATTGGGCGCCATTATCCGACGCCAGTCGTAGTGGCACCTACCGGCGGGTGCCATTGTCGTCAAAAGGTTAACATTAAAATAGGGTTTGAACTGACATTGTAGAATATTCACTGTTAGAGCCTGTCGCAAATTCGCCAATCGATGGCGGTCATTCAGGTTTCATCGGTGGCGGCCAATTCAGAAAGTCTTTCCATGCAAATAAAATGATCTTCGGACATTTAGGATCAGGACGCGGATCGTTGCCAATGGTTCGAAGACATTCTGCACTTTCGTTTCCCAACATGGCGCGCTTTTGAAACGAGGTCCAAAGTGCGTGCCGCAATCAGGGCCATCAACAAGAACGCGACAACACGTTGAAAACCAGGCGGCAGTTGCGGATCCACTCCGCCTCCTTTGCTGCGGCGTGGTTGTTCAGTCGGATTTTTAACACTAATCTTAACAGCGTATAGTAAGCTCAGTTTTTATACTTACCTGTGAAGTAATATCAGGACTTATGGTGATACTCATTAGAAACAAATCAGGCGTCATTGGAGATTACGGTAGAATTCACTGTTGATGTCATAAGAGCGGGTGAATACGGTCGGCTCGTATTGTTTGTTTCTAATCGAGTTTTTTTTTTTNTTTTTCATAAATTCTCAGGCATACACGATATAATGATTATGCTGATCATGCTAATTTGATTAATCAATTCTTACTTTTTTTGTTAATAATTGCTTCTTTCTTATAAGCTTTAAATATATTGTAGTCTTTCTAGTTATATCATTTCTTGTTTCCCCCCTTTCAGAATTCTTGAGGTTGTGGATAATTCATTGATTTTTGCTGTTTTTCTGTTAAGCAGGGGTATCGTAGAATGGTCATGATGTGCTACATGGGCTCCGGCTTTGTAGCACTAAAGAGAATGAAAAAAAGGCTTTAAGAAGTTTGATTTCACATTGTCTCCCGTATTTGAGCGAATGGTCGAACATCTCAAGAAGAAAGATATCTGGGAACTCAATTTTGTTCATGTTTTTCGTGCATGGTCAGGTTTGAGAGCTAGAAGGCATGTCACGCGCGCGGTTGCGACGCGTCGTATTGGCACCACAGCACAATATCGGTTGGCGCGCAGTGACGCGCCGCCTTTGGCCGCGCCGGCTGGTCGGGATAGAGACCGAGTTTTAGGGGGTTCCAGGCCATTATTGAGTTTCGTTTAAATATTGTTTTGTAAATAATACCCCTTTCACTAGATATTTGTCGCTATAACTGTTATCGTTTTGTTTTTTTTTTTTTGCTC